AATCATTCGATGATTCTATGATTTTCATGGTGGGGTCAGCGAGCGGCGGCCTGGCCCCCCCCCAGGCCCAGCACCGGCGATCCTGGGGCGTTTGGGGCTTTTCCTGTTTGTGGGGTCGAGCGTTGCCGGGGGTAACAAAGCATTTTGTTCCTAGAATGAGGCTCGTAAGCTGAATCACCAAGAAGTGGTGGAAGAAGACAAAAGACGTAAACTGCCACCAAACTGGGAAGCCAAAAAAGCTCGGCTGGAGTGGGAACTGAAGGTGGAACAGAAGAAGAAGGTAAAGACGCAATGACAGCTTCCCGTAGCCCTGCTGAGCCTCAGCCCGCGGGGCTGAGGTGAGGCTGAGCCCCCTTTGCGCTGGCTGGACAGTCCTGGGAGCTTACACAGACATCACCCCCAAAAATCCGTCTCCTAAGTAGACTCCTGATTATCTAAATCATTGTCCTGTGCTAAAGGTTGACTCTGCGCTGATCTGGGCAGTGGTAACTAAGTTTGATGCCTGGCCACTGTCTTCTTGTTCGAACCAAAGTGTTCTTTGTGCTGTGCTAGGAATGTGCAGCGAGAGGAGAAGACTACGAGCGAGTTAGACTGCTGGAGATCAGTGCTGAGGAAGCCGACAGATGGGAAAGGAAAAAGAAGAAGAAAAATCCAGACCTGGGATTTTCAGGTAACGACATAATTGTCCGTGTTTGTAGTGAGCACCTTTGTTGGTATTTCAGCTGCGAGCTGAATCGTGAAATAAAAACCTTTGCCCTAACACGAATTCATTTTCTCCCAAAGATTACGCGTCTGCGCAGCTGCGCCAGTACCAGCGGTTAACCCGGCAGATCAAACCCGACCTGGAGCAGTACGAGAAGCTGAAAGAGCAGTAGTACGTTTGCTTGCAGTCCTCTCGCACCGTCTGGGGTATTTCTAGATTACTGGCCAACGCTGAAGACTTAAACCAATCCTCTCAGCACATGCAGAGTCTCACACACACTGTAATATTAGTATTTTAACGTGACCTTCAAAGGCGCAGCCTCCCTGATCTGCTCTGCAGTCCCTGCTTCAGGAGGCACGAGCGGTAGTGGGGTAGCTGATGAGGTTCCTTTCTTCACACTTAGCATTACTGAGTTTGAAGAAATATTTTCTCAATTAATTGTATTTAAATATGTGAGTAGATTGCTCTTGGGGCGGGTTTTGGGGTTTTGTTTAAGCACAGACTGACTGGCTGCTGAGAACTTGCTAAGTTTGCATTCAGATTTAGAATTTCAGTGGGTTTCAGCATGTTCTCGTCTGCATCCTGGACTCCCACAGTTCAGTACAAGTTCAGTGCCTTGAAGCGTTACAGTAAGAATCCACGAGAAGCAGTGAAATCTCCCAGCGATCAATAGTTGTGTAAACTGCTGCCCCTCTGTTACTCTTGCCCAGTGGTGAAGCGCTGTATCCCACGTCTGACAGTCTTCTCCATGGAAGTCACGTGCCGTCTAAGGAAGGGGTTGATAGGATGGTTGCAGATCTCGAAAAACAGTGAGTAAATACTAAGGTGAAACAAAGTCTGGGACGTGGAGCAGCTCTGTGTAATCAGACCCACAGGATTCACCCCACAGGTCTTCAAACGCTGCCTTTGTCTTACAGAATTGAAAAGCGTGAGAAGTACAGTCGGCGACGTCCTTACAACGACGACGCAGACATCGACTACATTAACGAGAGAAACGCCAAGTTCAACAAGAAGGCGGAGAGGTTCTACGGGAAGTACACAGCCGAGATTAAACAGAACCTGGAGAGAGGAACAGCCATCTGAACCATCGCCGTTGGCAAAGCCCTGCTATGCCCCTTAGTGTTTGGTAGAGAGATTTCAAGTTGTGTCAGAAAAATACCTTGTAGACTTTAACTGATTTTTAAAATCAATAGTATATGTAAGGGGGTAGAAGCAATTTGTGTAACAACTCCAGCTGTATGTACCTTTTACTTTCAGAAATAACCAGCTTGTGTAATGCCATGTTCTAAATAAACACCAACTCTTATCCCTCAGTTTGGAGTAAAGCTTGTCTTTGTTCTGTCGTAGCTGGAGAGCGGTGACGTCCCTGCACACGCTCGTTTAGCAAGGTGACAGAACACTTAAGGAACAGGCCTGAAGCTCAGAGCACAGCTGTCCCCCTGCCCAGCAGCAGCTCCCAGGAAGAGCAGCTGTCTCCAGTATTAACTTTTGTCACCACAGAGTACATAATCCTTGGTATATTTGCCAGCCTTGTCCTGGTAATTGAATAGTTTCTTAAGGCTTCCAGACTGGAGTTTAACTGATTGCTCCCAGTCTGCCAACATGCTCGCCTGCTTTTCTCCAGGGGGTAAAGGTTTGTGAGCCACTGAATCAAGCCTGCATTAAGCCCAGGTCAGCACCACAAGTCAGGGGAAGGGGGAGTTGCTCAGGGGCCATGTTTTTGGCAGTGACAAGGGCAATGGCTTTGCATTTGGCAGTCAGGCACGCATCCACCAGGAGCCTTCATGGGGAAGGCACTCTGGAGGCCCTGAAACAGGCCCAGCCTGGACAGGAACGATTCCAGCGTGAAGGTTACCCTCGGAATTACTCAGAAATCACCTTCTGTTGCACTTTGTGCTAAGAGTAGGGTAACTGAAAGCTGCACCTGGAAATAACCACTTAGGCCAACTTATTACTGGACACAGGTCTGATACTCCACACCTTGAGAAGCCAGTGCAAAACTAAAGTTTATTTACTTGAAGAAAACAGTTACACCATGTAAATCAAGTGTTCAAAATAACAGCTACTGAGCTATATTTAGAAAAAGTTACCCACCTGGAAGTTCTAGTCCATTAAAGCAATACAAAAATATTTACAAATGTACACAAGATTCCCATCTGTGGCTTCTGGATCACTGTGCTCTATATCTGAAAGAGAAACCTAAGATTCCAAAATTAAGATCTCAAAATAAATACTCAGTATTAACAAGTCTTCAGCCTGACCAGAAAATCTCAGCTCTCGCTACTGAAGTATGCGTAATGCTGCAGTCAGAGACAGCAAGACAAATATGCTAGCGTGCCCGGAACGGTGCACTTTTAGGCGAGAAGTTTATAAATGTTTTCTTCTCCTCCTTCTTGACAGGAACCCATTGCCCATAGGGACTTCCCTTTCTGTCCTCTTCTCTTGCCGGAGAAATTGCTGGTTCCTTAACATGGCTCACTGGCTTCTGTAGCACTGGTTTTGCCATTGTATTCTGGAAAGAGAAATTTCCTTTAAAAACGCTAGAACAAGAAGGAATGTGCTAAGACCTGTCAACTTCAAGGTAAACAACTGTGCTGGCAAGGCAAGAGTTTCATCTCATGAGAGACCTGATGCCTACCAAGTATCAATCATGTGCGCTTCACTGACACAGGATTTAGGAAAGTTGCTTCTTCCTTAGTTTTTATCACTAAAACACGGAGCTTAAAATAAGCTCTGGTGTGAATTAGCTCTGGCATACACTTTTGAGTCTATAGTACAGTACAGATGTTCAACATGATTAGGTTGTGAAACATAAACACCTATTTTAAGCACAGTGCTGTAGTGTGTTTTCAATGCTCTACTGCTGAAGTACTAGACCTAACTCTCCAGGAAAGTCATTATGCAAGCACTAAATTCAACTTGTTACTATTAATAAGATCTTGAATCTGGCAACCAGTGCTGGGGAAAGCCTAACACAGGGCAGGTGATGTACCGGACTCCCATCTTGGGAAATCACACTTACATTAGGACTGAAAGAAATGCTTCTCTGTACAGCTACTCTCTCCACTCCACTCTTGGTCATGTCTTCTGCTGGTCTTCCGGGTTGCTAGAGAAGAGCACAGGCAGCTTCAGCGAGAGGATACATTATTCCGTGCAAGTTAAGGCAGTTACTAGAGAGTATGAACTTTCTGGTAGAGCTGTCTCAGGTATTTACACCAGAAGTAGCTGTAAGCTACTAAATATGCAAACAGATCAATGTTGAACTTAATTCAAAAAGCATTCAGTATTTTTATCAATGTCACAGTGCCAATTCACATGTGAGCTGATATCCATGCCCCAGTTACAGTTTTAAGGAGGATTAAAACAATTCAAAGCATGGACTGCCACACAGTGAAGTGCAGTGGTAGAGCAAGTCACATTAAGTTCTGCACATCCATCCTGCAGAGCTTTGGATAATGACAATAAACTTATCTGCAAGTGATGGAGGCCTCTTCTTCTGTACTCTCTCAACATCTGGAATATATTGCATATATTATGAAAGGGATGCCTGTACCATTTGTCTAAAACCCTTAGTAAATTCACTTCCATTTCAAACAGCACTATCTGATCCATGTAACAGTTATTGCAGTTTTGTATTTAGCATGAATCAGGTTAACACACTAACAGAGCCAAACTAAAATTCAAATTCAGTTTACGCTGCTTAAGTTTCTCCCTCCCTTCAATGCACAGCAGCTACAGCCCACAAGTCCCTTAATTACCAACAGATTTTCTTCATCATGTCTGGAACCATAGTCATGATTTCTATAAGACAGAAATAAAGTATGTAAAATGCATTGTGTGCTTGGGTATGTAATTTTGGGGAAACAAGTCTGTTGCACATGAAAAGCTTTTAACACTGAAAAGGGCAGAAAGATTTATCCTTTAAAAAAAAAAATCCACACTATTCACTAGGTTTGGTACGGAGACTCCTTGTTCTAGGTCAGAAACACAAACTCGTCTAATTAATGGGCAATATCCTATTAGAAGAACTCATTCTTCTAATGAAGAACTCATGAAACTACATTCACCTCTCCTTCCCACTGGAAAGCCTGCACATACGCAGTGGGTCAACCACCTCTTAACAGTCCATAGTACTTTCAGCTTAACACAAAGTCTACGGTGGTTTCCAGAACAGTTTTTAGCATTCTGGTAAATCTGGAGTTTTTGTTCAAGGGTTTGAATTCATAATCATGAACTCCACAGTTAAAAACTAACACATCCATGCAGGCAACAAGTTTTAAGAAGTGTTTACCTTTTCATTGAGAATACTCCAAGTCCGTACTTACCTCAGCTGACTCTCCAGCATCTTCATGCTCTTGTATTTCATTTTTTATCTCTTTGGAAGGAGTAAGGATCTTCAAGCTTGCTGGCAAGACTATGTTATCTGTTCCCAGAGCTTTTGCAGCATTAGCTTTTGCAATTTCCAGGAGTTCCCTCTTCTCTGCAAGAGGAAAAAAGCACGTAATTTGCTTATGTTTAAATCAACATGTACCTATTCTTGCAAGCCTAGAAACTGCAGGTTTACTATCACTACACCTACGTAAGCATCAACTGTGATGAATTTTCATCAGAACTTGGGAGATTTAGCTTCAGCTGAAGTGCAAAGCATATGCTCTGAACTACTATTTTTTATTAATACATTTTTATAACCATGCAGAGGTTTTCTTCCACATTGCCACTCTCAGTTATGCTCTACAAAGCAAGTAAACAGATGAGAAGCTGACTGGTTAAAATAAATTGTATGTTTTTGAGTTCTCACACAATTAAAGTCTCAAAAAAAAAAAAGCACCTTTTTCACTCAAATGGAGAGGTGACCTACTCCGAGATCTTGTTCGTGACCTGCTTCTCCAGCTCCTGTAAGCCTCGGGATATATTGTTCGCCCAAATCCATAGTATCTTCTGCCTCTTGAACGTGATCTGCTTCTGGAATAGGACCTTCTGTAATACGACCTTCCACGAGACCATGACCTGCTGCGTGATCTGTACCTTGGAGGAGAACGGCAGTACCTCCTGTAGTGTCTGACATGGTACCTTCCTCGGTACCTCGTGTAGCCACGTGATCTCGACCGGCTTCTGGAATACGAGCGAGAGTATCTTCTGTACCTTCGGGAACCATTTCTTCTAGCCCGTGACCTTGATCTGGACCGGCTCCAACTCCTGGAGGAAGCTGAAGAGGAACTATTTGAACTGGACTGTGAACTGCAAGAGGATCTGCTAGATGACCTTGTTGATGACCTATCACAGCTTCTCTTGGATCTCAAAGACGACTCTCTCTTCTTCAGTGAGCTGAGGGTTAAGTCATCCATGAAGCCTGTCATATCATCAGTTTTCCTAACCACCATTTTCTGCATGCAGGTACTTTCAGAAGCTGGTTCTGTTTTTACTGTTGTTCTGTAATATCCAGTCTCTGTTCCTGTTGTGGGTGGGAAGGGGGAAGCTGATCATTTACACACAGCAAGTTATTTGTACAGCGACAAACATTATGACACACGGGCAAAAAGTTCAAGCATAAACACACCAACAATCTCATCCAGTTTATCAGCATGCTTTGTACATGACCATTTAAAGCATCATTTCCTCTCCTGTGGTCAGTCTTTCATATGAAATTAAAAAAGACTTCAGTTTCAACCGTGACTAGTCCTGCATGGAATTTTGAAGAGAGGTTTGTTTGTGTAGGTTTAAAGTTCAATACCCTTTGTTTGCTAGGTAAGCACACACCTTTTGTGAAAGGGATACGAGTTAATACCTTTTTTCCCCCCTCTCTACACAAGAATTTTCAAGGTATGTTTTTTTTCAATCTATTCTAAATATAGATGCAATAAGCTGCAAGGCAAGATAGCCATCAGTACAAATTGAATAGTTTTCTTCTGCAGTTCTATGGAGGTTAGGTTTCACTGGTTCCCTCCAACAGAGAACAAAAATTAAGAAGTACCTTCAAGGTACAAAGCAGCCTCTTCAAGATCTTGGCTGTATCCCATTCCAAACTATCTGCACAAAGCTTCATATATCCCTGCAGCATATATCGCAAGCTGCTATTAACAGCA